GTGAGTGACCCAAAAGCGGGTTCATCTCGACGTTTCCCTACAATTGTATGTAGCTTCTTCAGGAGAACAAAGAAAAAGAAATCAAAAGACAGGAAGATGGGTAGTTAGCAACGGTAACTCAGTTACAGAAGGTAAGGCGTCGTGTGACCATTAGAGTGTAATAGTGTGGTATAATAAACGAGCTTTGGGGTGTCTCAGACCGGCTTGTCTCTTAAATATTTGTACATTTCTCTAATTCTAATTAAAAGATTGTTAGATTTTAGCAATGGGGGATTACGAGCACGGGAAAGCTTACTTGAAACTTGCAAACTTTTAGAATACGTAGGATAAATAATAGTGATATTGAATCAGTGGCATGCGAAGACGAATCAGAGGAAGAGGATGAGGACATTGAGGAATTTATAAATTACGACAATGAATCAGAAAAGGAGATATCAGAAGCAGATGTTCGTTTCTTTTTTTTTCTTGATTTGCGGTAAGGGTGTTTCATCATCATCATCTTTGGTCGACAATCCTCTGTGGATCTTGGCCTGCTCTAAGATTCGTCGCCATTCTGTTCGGTTTTTGGCAACATGTTGCCATCTTCTGATTTTTAATATTCGTAAGTCGGTTTCTACTCCATCTAACCACCTAATTGGCGGTCGGCCTTTGCTTCTTTTTCCTATAGGTGTTCCTGTGGTTAGCTTTTTAGCAATGGTATTTTCTGGCATTCGTATTATGTGTCCAGCCCATCTAAGTCGCTGTATTTTAATGAACGTTATGACATCTGGCTCATCAAAGAGCTGATACAATTCAAAATTATATCTTCTGCGCCACTGCCTTGGTCGTTTACAGCTCCAAATATTTTGCGGAGTATTTTACGCTTAAATATTCCCAAAAGTCTTTCATCTTTCTGCGTTAGAGTCCATATGTGAGGACCGGCCTCAGAAATGTTTTGTATATAATAATTTTAGTTCTTCTTTGAATATTTCTTGAGTGGAAATGCTTTTGGAGTCCATAGTATGCCCTATTTGTAAGGTTTATTCGTCTTTTGATTTCTTCGCTTGTTTTATTGGTAGCAGTCAATAGCGACCCAAGGTATGTGAAGTTGTCAACACGTCCAAAGGTATGACTTCCAAAGACTGTTTCTCGTTCCTCATTTGCTATCGGATCCTTTGTAACCAACATGTACTTAGTTTCTTCGTTGATGACTAGACCGACCTGTTTCGCCGCTGTTCCCAATTCTAGGAGATATTACTCAACATCTCGCTTGCTACGCCCTACTATGTCAATGTCATCAGCATATGCTAAGACTTGTATCGATCTATTGTAAATCGTACCGCCGTCCCTAATTCGTGTATCTCGGACTGCCTTTTCTAAGGCAATATTAAATAGGAGGCAAGCCAGAGCATCTCCTTGTCTGAGTCCATCCTTTATCTCAAAGGATCTAGAACTCTCTCCCTGTATTATAACAGTGGCTTCTAAGTTAGACATTGTCATTCTCGTTAGTCGGATAAGTTTCTCTGGTATACCAAACTCATGCATTGATTGGTATAGCACTGTTTTCTTGACACTGTCGTATGCGGCCTTGAAGTCGACGAATAGGTGAAGGGTTTGAATATTGAATTCTAATGTTTTCTCGAGAATCTGTCTTATTGAATGAATCTGGTCAATTGTTGATTTTTCTGGAGTGAATCCAACTTGACATTTACCAACTATGCCACTGTGTAAACTTGCAACCTTTCGTAGATAATATTTGCTAGTATTTTGTAAGCAGTTGTTAACAGGGTTATACCTCTATAGTTGTCACACTGGAGCTGGTCACCTTTTTTATGTAACGGGCATATCACGCCTTGAGACCATTCACAAGGCATGGTCTCATTATGCCAAACAAGAAGTATAAGCTTGCGCTGTGTGTAGTAGGGCATCGCCACCATTCTTGTAGAGCTCACTGCAAATTTGATCAACTCCTGGTGATTTATTATTTTTAAGCTTTTTAATGGCTTGGGCAACGTTTTCGATGGTAGGTGGTCTTTCTTTTGGGTTGAAAGGATTTCAATCATTTCGATTTGCTAGGGTGTTTGTGGATTTTAAATATTGGTATCCATGTTTTGTTAATTATTAGTCCTTCTTCTATCCGATTAAATTATTTGGATGCTTATATATTTCCACCGCTTCTCGATATAACCGTAGGTAGTACTGTGATTTTTTATCCTGCAACTGCGTTTCTTCAAAGAGTATCCGATGTTTTCCGCTTCCCAAAGCGTGTTCGGCAATGGCAGATTTGTCGATATGTCCTAAACTACAATGGTTGTTATGCTCGTTTATCCTTGTGTTTGTGTCTTTTCGTGGTTCCCACATATACCATTCCACATGTGCATGGTATTTCGGTATACTCCTGGTGTTGCTAACGGGCCGCGTTTGTCCTTCACTGATCTTAGACAGTCCTTGATTTTCTTTATTTGCTTTTAAAATGGTCTTTACATTGGCTTTTTTAAGCCAATTATGTCTGTTACCCCCAATATATAGGACAAGAACGCTTTGCTTATATATGCTCTTTCTTTATCCTTTCTTCTAGAAACGTTGTTAATCGCTGTATGTATTTCTCTTCTGGTATAACCATTAGAGGTGAGCGCTTTTTCAATAAAAAGAAGTTCACTTTGCAGATGCTGTGGTTCACAAATTCTCTCCGCCAGAGTTTTGATGATACTTTGTTTTTGGCCTGGATGATGATTTGAGTTCCTGTTTAGGTATTAGGGCCCATTTACTTAGGCCCATTTGTTAGTACCATGAATTCTCCTTGTAGTGCACTATCAAAATTTTTATTAAATATTTTAAAACCATTTACAAATAAAAATGACACATTCATAAAAAATACACAACATTTTTTAAATAAATTATCAAATATTGAATTTAATTCAAATAATACTTTGGTAAGTTTTGACATAAATAGTTTATTTACGAATGTGCCATTAAATAAGGCTTTAAGTATAGTCAAGGCAAAATTAGATAGTGATGATTCATTGGCAACTAGAACAAGACTAAACATATCGGCTATGATGGAGTTATTAACATTATGTACTGTGAATACATATTTTCAACTAAATAATGAATTCTATAAACAAAATTTTGGTCTAGCAATGAGCTCTTAGCTCATATATTCGCTATCGGCTCTTAGCCGATATATTTATGGAAGATTTTGAAACAAATATCAATTCTAAACACAATTTAAAACCCACAGTATGGTGGAGGTATGTAGATGCTGTATTCTCAATATGGCCTCATGGATCAGAGTTGTTGGACACATTCCTAAATGATATAAACGATAAAGAAGAGACAATAACATTTACCATGGAAAAGGAATATAATAACAAGCTACCTTTCCTGGATGTTTTAATCTCTAAGAACGATACTGGATATGAGACTCAGGTGTATAGAAAACCAACACACACCGATAGATATTTAAATTTCAAATCAAATCACAATATTAATGTAAAAAATGGAATAATTATATCCTTATACGATACAGCCAAAATTACTTGTTCTAACGAAAATTCGTTCTTGGAGGAGAAACATTTGTTAACATCTGTTTCATTAAAAAATGATTATCCTTTATCGTTTATAAATAAGGCATTTTCAACAATCGATCAAATAGAACAGAACAACTTAGAACGAGATCCTACAGCATACACAAGGAATAATACGAGGAAAATAACAATACCGTACATAAAAGGATTATCAGAAAAACTTAAAAGGATAGGAAATAAATTCAACATTTCAACAACATTCAAAACAACAAACACGTTGAGATCTATTTTGTCCAAAACCAAACCTAACAATGAACAAGAAAGGACAAAGAATTGCATTTATATAATACCTTGTAAATGCGATCAGTTTTATTTAGGTGAAACATCAAGGCCATTAAATGTTAGAATCAGTGAACATCAATCTTATATTAAAAATAGAGAATTTATAGATCTCAAATATGTAAACATTCATGGGATAATGAACATAGAGTTCAATGGAATAATTCAAATGTAGTCCTAAAAGAAACAGATGGTAAAAAAAGAAAAATTAAAGAAGCGGCTCTAATTATGCTAAATGAGACCAATTGTGTCACAAATTCCTCGGCAGAATGTAGTAGGATCTGGTAACCAATATTGAAAGAGGAAGTTATTAATAAGAAAATACCAGTATTAGTAAGTCAGTAACATATAGAGGATACATCATTTATGTTTTTTAAATAACGAAACATATAAAATCAGAATTTTGGTGTTTATTGAAGGTAAACTAAATGCACGAACAAATACTTACCATGTTGGGATAGTATTATGAGGTTTTTTTCCTGGTTTTTCCTCATAATTTACTATGGAATCACTAACAGGAGAATTTTACTGTCATCATGTCATGTGTTTGTCTTTTTAAAGACGAATTACATGCTATGATTTTTTTTCTGACGGATATTCTCAAGTTAAAGTTGATTTCATGTAATCGAATGAACTATCTTATAAGTAAAGTCGTCCTAGGAGCGCAACTCAACAATATTGGCAATATCATTTTAAAGTCGTCTACTTAAAATGCATAATGTCTGTCTGAATTGTTAATATAAATGAGTCAGATAAAATTAAATTATTAGAAGAATTTTTCACTATGTAACAAAAAACAAAATTTGTTTAATTTACTGTTTGTATTTTGAGAACGATTTCCGAAGTAGAAATTGAAACATTAATACACGTATTTTTATCTTTAATTGTGGCTTATTCCCAGTTAAATAGTCATTAATTTAAAATGCCACAAGAAAATAGCTTCAGAACAATATAATATATGCAATTGCAACTGTATTATATTATTTCCAGTTAAAGAAGTTTCTTATCATTGGTTAATACGTCAGGAGACCAGAGAAAACTCTCTTAAGTATTGTGCTTTTGTATCACTTTTAGAACAGAACATAATAACCATTAGAAAGGCCAGAGCATAGTTACCCTAGTATGGATATTAGAAATAAAACTTCAGAATTTATTAAAAATAATTAATATATTATATACAATGTCAGGTAATGATACTTAAATATATTCAGAAATAAACACTTTCTTAAGATCTGGTATACTATGCACGCACTTATCACTGCATTTCTCGTTACAAGTCTTATCAAAACAACCAGAAGAGTCTTGAATATACACAGTTGTCGTATTCGGAAGATATTCTTCAGATTTTACTTTTTGTCGGTAGACATGAAACTGGGAGCAGTCCGATTCTTTACAACTATTTCTAAATTGCTTGTCGTTACAGCGAATCTTACAGCGATCTTCTAGAGTCATGTATGAGTTGGATCGTTGGAAGCTGAATTTGTTGTTATTTTTTAGATTCTCTTCTACCTCTATGTATGCTTGAAAGTTTTCTAAGGATCTGTAACAGGTAAATCAAGTGTACATATTAAGAACAATCAACTTACTAGACATAAATATAAATATAAGTAACGACAAAGAATATCCAGAAGTAATAATGCATTTGTTATTTAATACATGAAGAGTTTTTGCAAAGTTGGTACCACCAAGTATAGGTATAGAGGCGTTTATCACAGTCAAAATAAGATATTGCATAGCTAATTGCATCCTTTGGATAGAACAGTGTAGCTCATTCATTCAGACCTCCTGACTTGCATCTTAAGATTACCGTCTCTACAATAGATTAAAAAGTTTTGAATAAACCGTTAATAACAGTTAAAATACAGTGGAACCTCGATTATCCGTCTCTCTATTAACCGTCACCTCTGTTAACCGTCAGGGTCCATACATAAGTTATATTGACATCATAAGTAAAAATTTAGTTATCAATTCATTTTGTTTGCAAAAAATTTTCCACCACAGACGATTCTCATTTTGGACAATGCACCTGGCCCATCTAAAGGCCGGTATGCTGCGGAGTGACGATAAAAATAACACGTACTCTATTCTGCCTGCGAATGCAACATCATTGATACAGCCAATGGATCAGTCAGTCATTTAAACATTCAAAAGATACAGAAAAAAATTTATTCAAAACCTAGTTATGGAAGACTAATATTCTTTGCCAGAATACTGGAAAACATACAATTTTAACACGTCGACAATGCTGTGGATACTTGGGTTGATGTTTCAGAAGTAACACTGAAAAGAGCGTGGAATAAATTATGGCCTGAATCAACGTAAGATGAAAATGCTCCCCTTAAATGAAGTTATGGCTGAACCAACTGTTTTGTTTTCGTTGCCTAAAAATGACGTAAACAATAAAACAAACACAGATTTCGGAATAATTTAAATCAAATTGATTTGAGTGTACTAACATAAATCCCTCTTACATTGTCAAATAAAACATACAAATAAAATTTAGGAGTTATACTATGAATTTTTTTAATGTTCTGTTAATCGTCTTTTCGATTATCCGTCACAACCTTGGTCCGGTGCCATGACGGATAATCGAGGTTCCACTGTATTAACTTTATTTTACTATTAACTCGAATTAACCTTTTCTTGTAGTTTCTTCTTTTTTTTGTGCCACTCCTATCGGAGATTGGAAATCATCAAGGCTATTCTGACCTTGTTTACGGCTGACCTAAAGAGTTCATTAGTGGTGCAGCCAACCACTCTCTCAAATTCCGCAACCATGACATTCTTCTACGGCCTGGATTCCGTTTTCCTTCTATTTTTCCCTGCAATATATTTTGAAGTAATGCGTATTTATGTCCCTCATCAGGTGACCAAAATTATTCGAGTTTTCTTCGCTTTAGCGTTTGTAACGAGTCCGTTACTTAAATAACCGTTTACCTTTTTTGTGACTGGAGTCTTTTAATTTAACTTTAAATTAAATTCATATTTGAAATATTCTTGAACTGAATATTTAAATAACTCCCAGTAAATTTTATTCTCTAAGGTTGGCATTAAATCGCGCCACCTGGTGTTCTGAAAGAACATCCACTTGACGGCTGTAGAACCTTAACAGAGCACTTGTTGACTTGGTGGATTTGATCGAAGGAAGATCGTTCGATCGATCATAGTGGCGGCTGGGAGATGCCATTTTTAAGGAATTTAGTTTAAGTTTATTTTTTTTATGAAGAGCTGTTGATTTAAAAGCAACAATGTAAGTTATTTTGGGTGTTTTGTACGAGGATACTTTCAGTTGGATCACACCAGCCGCCTACTTCCGGAATCCGGACGGCGACAAGTCAGGGAAGAAACCTTTAGTTTTTGGGTTATATTTATTAAGGAGAAGGGGAAGAAATTTTAAGCTTAGGGATTTATATGGGGATTTAAGAAGAATTTTTTATTACATGGAATCCAGGCTTGGTGTACCTGTACCCTCCTGAATCTAGTTCTTCACCGGAAAATCTTCCAGATCAACCGACGGAAACCGGCAGGAAGAACTTATTTTTATTTTTTTTGCTTCTCATTCCAGTATTTTTTATAACTTTTGCAACATCCTCTTCAAGGTTTTAACTTTTGCTTCACTTTAATTTCAATATATATCATTAATAATAATTACATTCACTTTTTCATAAAATATTAATCATTGTAACTTAATTTCAATTATTTATTGTCTACCAAGGGATGAGGTTTTAACTCTCCCTTGAATCTCTCTTGTTAGGTTATCGTGTGCACATATATCCGGAGAGTTTCATTTGAAAATTTAAACATTTAATTAACGATAACTAAATTATTAGTGAGTAGTATTTTTTATATTTATTATTTATACATAATTATTGAGTATAACCATTGTCAGAATTTAAAATTAAGAGGTATATTAGGGGGGAAATTGTTTTAATTATATTCAGGGATTTTATTGTAAATATAGATAGGTTAATTGTACATAAGAGGTGGTGGGTCATAGATAAGTATTTAACATAGTCTGTACATAAGTTTTGGGTAATTATTAAAGTTGTGGTTAAAAATTTAATATTTCAATTAGTACCCAACTTTTTATCTTTCAGCAATACAAGATATCTCGGAAGAAAACATTTAACTTCCTGGCGCCCAAACATTCAGTAGAGCAACTTTATCTTCCATCTGTTTATTTCTTGGTAGTTTCTAGTCCTTAATTCTTACATCTTATGGTCTCTGTAGGGCATGCAAATTGGCCGAATCCCTCTTTGAGTGTCAAGTGGTCATTCTCCTGCATAGTCGCTAGCCAGCATTAATTTTATTATATTTTAAAATTCATATTTACCCTTTATTTATTTCTTTCACATAATTTATTTCTATCTAATCCCTTCCATCTTCTGTTATTCCACATATTAGTTCGTTGTGTATCAAGGTACATTTTAGAGTTTACCCTATTGCTACACTGCACATTTTTGCTACACATTCCTCATTTTTGTTACATTTCCCTACTCTCACATTTCCTGTTACATTGTTTCACCAGAAACAAACCCCATTCTTATTACATTGGCGCCCAACGTGGGGCACGAACCCACGACCCTGAGATTAAGAGTCTCATGCTCTTAACAAAAATCTCTCTGGGTCTTTTCCTGGGTCTTTTCCTGGGTCATCTTGTTGTTTAAAACGTTCTAAATGTTTGGCATTCCTTTTCTCAGGTAGCTTAGCTTCCTCTGTGGATGTGTTAGTTGTTGCTCTGAAATCTTTATAGTCTTCTAACATTATTGCCACAAATTGGTCGCATTGCTCTTGTAGTAATCCCTGTTTAAGTTAAAATAATCATTTCTAACTTGACTGCACCGTACTAAAGACGACCAATAGTCAAAAATACGTATATACGGTTACCTTTCATCTTCTTTTTTCTTCTTCTTCTTCTTCTCTATTTATATAGACATGACTCCGTCTGTTTTTCAATGTGCCTCCAGTAAGTTGTCGTTTCATCGTTTTCGTGGTCTTCCTACTCATCGTTTTCCTATTGGGGAACCGTCTCTTGCCGTCTTTACTACTCTATTTGTTGTCATTTGGCTTATATGATTGTTCCATCCTACTCTTATATTTCTTAGCCAGTTTCTGATGTTCTCCACCTTGCATCTACGTCGTATATCTGTACTTCTAGCTCTGTCCCATAGTGTCTTACAATTAATTTTACAATTAATTAAGTGTTTTCGTCTCTGCTATTTCTAACATTCTTTTTGTACTCTCTGTGTCAGGTCTTGTTTCTGCCGCGTATGTCATTATGAGCTGATGAGTGTTTTGTGAATTCTGCCTTTCGTTTCTATTTTATATACATATTTTATTATATTTTTTCCCTTTGTTGCGAGTTACGCCGATACCTACTATCTTTATTTGGCTTAGCTTCCTCCGTGGATGACTTAGTTGTTGCTTTAGAATCCTCAGAGTCTTCTAACATTATTGCCACAGATTGGTCGCATTACTCCTGTATATAGATAACTTGTATATCCTCCAAGTTTTAAGCACTCTGCGGGTATACCATCGCTGCTATTACTTTTAAGCTGCTTAAGGCGGTGCCTTATTACTTTTAAGTTTTTTAATTGCCTTGGTAATTTCTGCGTATGCCGGGTATTGGTCTTCTATTTTCAGTTGTATGCACTTCTATATTTGATGTATTTTTACTACATTGGTCGTTTAACAGTTGATAGAAGTCTTTCAGGCTTGTAGGATTTTCTTGTCATCAGTAATAAGCTGTGGTTTTGAAGAATGTTTCCTGTTCTTGCTTGGTACACTGCCTTGATTTTGAAACACCTTTAAAGAACTGTCTTACTTGGTTGTTCTTCCAATTTTCTTCTATATCTCTGATTATTTATTCCTGGTATTTTGTTCCTTTTCATTAGTTTTTTTATCTCTGTTCTTGTCTGTTTATATGTTAAACCTCTCAATTCATCCTACAGCTACTCATAAACAAAGTTTTCTAATAAAAGAACGCTATTTATTTATTTTAAAAAAGAAAATAATACTAAGCAGAATCAGATTGATTCAATTACTTAATTTATTAGATTAATATTATCACTTTACCTTTTTGAATTTGATCTCGTTATTCTAAAATTCTTCAAATCACTTTTAGGACTATCCTTTTCAGTACCCGGTTTGTACGAAGTAATAACAGGTCTGTTGTTAACATTATTTATGATAAAATACTCCTGTTCGTCGTCTTCTTTCACCGTCAAGTCCTTACTTGGTTTCTGATGATTGCTTTGAAAGAAATCGAAGTCACAGTTAGCTTCTGTGGTGATTGAATAACAACTCTTTGAACTCATGGAGTCAAAGTTATCGTTTATATCAGTAACGTATTCGTCGTCGGAGCTGTAGATATCAGTTCTGGGAATGTCTTCGACCTGTATTTGAGAGGTTACTGATTTTTGAAGAATGGATGGGGATCGTTGATTTGGTTCCAATCTTTGGGCTTGTGGCGAATTAAGTTGAAACATATTATCTAAAATAGGAAAACTGTATAATAATTTGAATTTTGGAGACATTTTTTGAATGTAAAAATATATCAACATAAATTAAGACTGTTGCTCCTGTAGTAATTGTTGAGTACTCACCAATTTCCTTAATTTGTAAATCGTTCAAGCTATCTTCACTCCTACTCAGTCTCATTTTATGCAAACGAATTAAGTTTCTAGAACTTTTAACTGCCTGACTGCTGGATCCCAGATTTATCTTCATTTCAGCGTCTCCAAAGAACGTTTGTGTATTTTCAACCTCTTGAACAGTATGTAAAGAGTCGTGGCTATGACTAATTCTATCTAATTGCGGTTTCTGATTCAATAAATTCAGCTGCAATAGATTTAAATGATTCTGCCCAAATGGAGGACTATTCTGAATTGAATTCAATTGATTGCTCGGAGAAAAACTGAGTTTGCTTGAACGGCGACTGATTGAGCTGAGCAGGTTTAAATTGGCTCAATTGATTAAGCTGTTTGTTGATGTAGCTAGTGCTGAGATGGTGCAAATTGGAATGACTAGGACAAAGATCCGCTTCACAGTTACTGCACGATGGAAATTTTTGTGGATGTTCGATTAGATCGTGACGGTGGCTTAGTAGAGATGTATGGAAGGCTACGTTGGCTTGATGTTTTTCAAGTTTGGCACCTAAAATGTAATTTCGTTTAAATATACCAGTAATAGTAGAGACAATTTTTTTAACAACTCAACGATTACCCAAAGATCTTAACTTAAAGTAAAATTAACTTCATGGTAAAGATAATGAATAATGAAGTTAAATAAATTAAAGTACAATATATTGAAAATTATAGAAACTTGATAGATTATTTAACAAAAAAAAACATTCCATACCACACAAAAAAGAGAACGAACAAGTAAAATATATACAAGTTGTAGCCAAAAACTTCATCGAACTTGTCAGTCTCAAGCAATCCTAGAAGAAGAAGAGGATACAAAGGATTCAATGATGTCAATAAATTAAAGTTGCGCAGCAAGTAGCCATTGGATATCTTTATTTTATTTTTTAGAAAAAATAAAGATAAGGATAAAATTGATAAAATCACTAATATTTTAGAGTTGAACTGCAACCACTGAAAAGTTCAAAACTGGTTTCACAATCTAAAACAAGCAACATCATCATCATCATCAACCTATGTTCAGAGGAATCAACAGATAATTCCGAGTTCCAACATCAAAAAGATTATAATACCCATGTTCGTCCGTTTAAAGATCTGGTCTACTGGCAAGGATCGATCTCACCGTAAACCGATAATCTCAACGGAAATAAGGGCTCGTGCGACAATCGTAGCGAACTACGATTGCCTAGTAAAGTCACATTGTTTTGAGCCTTTAGACTCTCGGAACTTCAATAGATATCGTTGTCATCTTTGACTAGAAAGGATGCGGCCTTAGAGGCGTTCAGGCATAATCCCACGGTTGGTAGCTTCGCACCATTACCCGCTCGAGTAAGTGCTTCAACCAAATGTCCGAACCTGCGGTTCCTCTCGTACTGAGCAGAATTACTATCGCAACGACAGGTCATCAGTAGGGTAAGATTAACCTGTCTCACGACGGTCTAAACCCGTCTCACGTTCTCTGTCTGTGGGTGAACAATACAACATTTGACGAATTCTGCTTCGCAATGATAGGAAGAGCCGACATCGATAAGGATCAAAATAACTTTTCTGAATCTTCTAGCTAAAAACTTTTCAAGCCAAAAGGATCGATAGGCCGTGCTTTCGCTGTATCTATGCATACTGAACATCAGGATCAAACCAGCTTTTGCCCTTTTGCTCTACGCGAGGTTTTTGTCCTCGCTGAGCTGACCTTAGGACACCTGCGTCATTTTTTGATAGATGTAGCGCCCCAGTCAAACTCCCCGCCTGGCAGTGTCCTTGAATCAAATCACGCTGGAGATAAGTTGACACTCGAAACGAAGCACATAGACGCTAGCCGGGTATCCAAAAGGTGAGCCTTATCGGAACCACGAAACCGACAAACAGCACAACGCAACGAAACGTCACTCTGTGCCCTTGGCTTAAGAATACCGTGAACTCTAGAATTTTAGTACAACCAAAAAATATTAAACAGCAGGGCATGCGTTTACTTTTACAATCACAAATTTGATTTAATACAAGGAAACGATAGGGAGATTAAAACATTAGTTAGCCTGCTAATCGACTAGTGATATCAAATGTGTGCCCCAGCATTCCAAACACTATAATCGAACAAAGGCTAAAAAAATTTGAGCTTATTACAGTTTCCAAAATAACTTTCTTGAAAGTTGGCATGCCTGAATCCAAATAAAGTCACATATTAAGCTTTAGGCGTCAAATGAGACGCCTAATGTTAATGAGACGGGTATAATGTTCATATTCCCTGTAAAATTGTTGCTGCCAAAGACCAGAAACAAGTTGGTGCAATTACCAGTGGTGAACGAGGACAAACCACGAAGCTAGTATGCGCTTCCAGTGCCTCAGGTCCTGGACCTTGTATTCCATATATTCCACCTATGTTTATTTATTGAAGAAATCGGATGAAAGAAGGTTTGGATAAAAACGGTCCAATTGGGGGCAATACACATATGCTCCAAATCAGAGTGGATAACGGAACAACTTATCTTGGAATGGCTGAAACATTTTTAGAGGCATGTTAATGCTTCTAAAGACCATCCAGTTCTTTTAGAGCTAGATAACCACACAACGCATTCAAGTCTGGCTTCCTACAATTTTTGTCGCGACACCGGAATAAATCTCCTTTCAGTGCCACCGCACACCTCCCACCTTCTCCAGCCTCTAGATATCACGTTTTCTCTCCATTTAAAACAGCATACTACCAAGAATGTGAAGTATATAAAACAAAAAAAAATTGATAAAATAAATACAACAGACGTTGCGGAACTTGTTAAAAAATTCCTACAGCCTGTTGAAAAGGCTGTAAATGGTTTTCTAAAGACAGGATCTTTCCATTTAATCCAGATGTTTTTTGTAATCAATCTATACCAGCAGTTAAACAATATCAAGATAATGTGACTTCTCTGCCCGTTACACATCAAACACCATCGCCAACAGCAGTTCCACTAGATGAACTACCAGGGCCCAGTGGAGTCGAAAATAAAAAACTGAGACCAAAAGCAGCACTATTATCAGAAGATTCTTTATCTGAATCAGAATTAAAGAAAGTTTCAGACATTGATCTGTGCGACGATAAGGATAAATGTGTGCAGCTAAAAAATGAAAGCTTATCTCGTATGTCTTTCAGTGAACTATGCCTTCTACCGGCACTACCAGTCAGTAGTTATACAAAAACTAAAAGCACGCGAACTTAACACTCGACCATTTTAACATCAACACCGTTTAAAAGAACAATTAGAAAATAAGCAACAAAAAAAGCAAAAGAAGAATCAGGTTGAGAAAGTTAAACGAACCATTGGAGTTACTAAGATAAAAACAGAAAAATTAGTCAAGAAGAAGACTTATAGTATAAATAGTGATGGGAGATTTCAATGCAAAGGTTGGCAGAGGCAAAGTGAATGAGATCGTGGGAAACTTCGGCCTAGGGGAGAGAAACGATAGAGGTGATAGACTTATATGCTTCTGCCAGGAATATAACCTGCTGTTAAGTAATACACTCTTCAAGCTCCCCAAACGTCGACTTTACACATGGAAATCCCCCGCTGACTCACCTGACAACATCATTAGAAATCAGATAGATTATATAGCAGTACCAACAAGATATAAAAACATGATAAAATCATCAAAAACGTACCCAGGTGCCGATGTTCCTACGGACCACAATTTGTTGGTATGCAGAATGGTCATGAGAGTAAAACGGCTCGAGAAAAGATCTAATTTAAACACAATCGATATTAAAAAACTCACTAACCCAGAAACCGAAATAAAAGTACGAGAACAACTAGGAAAGAAAATAAAGGACATTAACGAGAACACGTCGGACATAATAGAGAGATGGGATAAATCGAGGGAAGCAATCCAAACAACATGTGCGACTCTATTAAAGCGTGACCGACGGAAAAAGAAAGAATGGATGTCTGATGAGATAATGGATATGATGGATGAAAGACGTAAATTCAAGAATAAAAATGCAGAAAAATACCAGCAGATCCACAAAACCATAAGAACGAAAATTCGAGAAGCCAAAGAAAAATGGTTTTCCAACGAATGCAGGGAAATAGAACAATACGAACGAAAATACGACAGTTACAATATGCACAAAAAAATAAAATCGATGACAAACAAGAGGAAATTCAATAAGTCACCCAACAGCATAAAAGATAGCGATGGAAATCTTATCTCGGAGCCATCAACGATCTTAAAAACATGGAAATCATACATAGAAAAATTATTTGCATCTGACAGGACTGATGATCACCTATATGGAGAAGGAGAAACAGGACCTTCAATCCTTAAATCGGAGATAGAAGATGCCATTGCAGCACTAAAAAACAATAAGTCAGCAGGTCCGGACAATGTACCCTGCGAAATATTAAAGATCCTATGTAAATCAGACAAACAGTTCCTTGATAATCTAGTTGTACTTTTTAACAACATATATAATAGCGGTAAAATCCCGGAGAACTGGCTACAGTCAACATTTATTACAATCCCGAAGAAACCAAATGCCCAGATTTGTGATGACTACCGGCTTATAAGCTTGATCAATCATGTCACTAAAGCGTTCACTAAGATCATTCATAGAAGAATATATGATAAATGTGAGTCAAATATTGATAGATCGCAGTTTGGTTTTCGGAAAGCACTTGGAACTAGAGAAGCAATTTTCGCTCTCCAGGTGCTTATACAGCGGTGTAGAGACGTTGATAAGGACGTGTATTTGTGCTTTGTAGATTTTAGAAAAGCATTTGACAATGTCAATCATGAACAATTGATAGGTATTCTGCGAAAGACAGGTATTGACGACAAGGACATTCGAATTGTGGCAAACCTATACTGGGGTCAAACAGCAAGAGCAAAAATTGGCAACGAACTCACTGAAAGTGTGCAGATCAAAAGAGGTGTCCGTCAGGGGTGTATATTATCCCCACTTCTATTCAATATGTATTCCGAGGAAATATTTAACAAATGTATGGAAAATGCAAATGAGGGCATAAAAATAAACGGCGAGTTAACGAACAATATAAGATATGCCGACGACACGGTGATCCTTGCCAGTACCATAGACGAATTACAACAAGTAATGGAAAGACTTTATTCAGTTAGTGAGGAATACGGCCTGAGCCTCAACTTCAAGAAGACAAAGTGGATGCTGATAAGCAAAAAGCAACAACCTGCTCGACAATTACGGATAAGTAACATACTAATTGACCATGTAGAATCTTATGTGTACCTTGGCACCAACGTAAATGCAAAATGGGAACAGACCATAGAAATTAAGGCAAGAATAGAACGAGCTAGAGCAGCATTTAGCAATATGAAAAAGCTCCTCATAAGCAAGGATTTGTCTCTTCCCCTAAAACTACGTATAGTTAAATGCTACATTTTTCCGATCTTGCTGTATGGCGTGGAGGCCTGGACGCTGACGGAGACGCTAACGAGAAAACTAGAAGCATTCGAAATGTGGGTGTACCGACGCATTCTTCGTATATCCTGGACCGAACATGTCACCAACATAGAGGTACTCCAAAGAATCGGAAAGGAGAAAGAAATCGTGAATACAATTAAACAAAGAAAGCTTGAATATCTAGGCCACATATTGAGACACGATAAGTACCGTCTGCTACAATTGATTGTCCAGGGAAAAATAGACAGTAAGCGAGGGCCAGGCAGGAGAAGACACTCGTGGCTCCAAAATCTGCGAAAGTGGTTCGGGCTCACATCGGTCGAACTATTCAGAAGCGCCGCAAACAAGATCAAAATTGCCATGTTAATAGCCAACGTTCGCAACGGACAGGGCACTTGAAGAAGAAGAAGAAGAAGACTTATGGCGTGAAAGCACATCAAAAACAAGAAAGCGAACCATGTTCAGTATGTTGGGAGTTTGGATTAAATGAATTATGGTGGAGATGTCGTCTATGTGGTCTCTGGGCTCATGTAGACTGCACGGAAGCGGATACTGCTACTTTTTATATTTGCTCAAACTGTAAATGTAACTAAAGAAATATGTATTTTATACTTAAACCTAAGTAAACTTAACCATTGAATTTGTCCATCTGTGATTGATATTTCCCATCCTTGATCGATCTTACCCATCTCCATTGTCGATATTAGGTACCCGATTGATCGATATTATCCGAATTATTTGAGATTCAAAAATACGTATTTATAAAATATTTGTAATTATTTTATAATATTTTTGAAGTAGTAATTGGTTAACTGCATGGTTAACTGAATTGAACTAAATATCCATAATATAAGTTTCAAATTCGTAAAAGATATAGCAAACGGTCTATAACAGTTTTTTCTTAAGTAGTCGATATTCCCTCACCTTCTCCCACAACCAGCAATAACTCTATTTAAAGAAGTAATACTAAAATTAAAGTTTGAACAGATTGTAGATTTTTTCGAAAACACACATGAACATTAAGACCATATAAGCTTAGTTAAGATGTATACAGAAGATTTAACGACTCATTAAAAATATTGTTAAAAATGTATCCATACTATACCGACAGCCGCATAAAAAATAAGTTGCAGAATATGCAAAAAATTAATGAAACATCTACACCTAAATCCAGCTGAATTAATATGATCAATAGAAGAAGACACTGACACCTCTTGAGCCACCTCTAACCCGCAGTGGTTGATGCGGTTAATAATAATAAGTAATAAATAAAAAAAAGCTTATCGAATGCAATTTTATGATTTTAAGGTTATATTTTATAAAGTCAAGTATCTGAAGTTTTGCGATAATCTGAATCAAGAAGTGCGTATTTATGCTTATATAAAAGACATAAATAAACAAAAATTTGCTGTTGCACGGATTGATGAGTTGTTCCTGACACCATCCTTTATAACACAGAGTAGAATTCAAAAATTCACTAATTAGTGCATGAAATCGACCTTTTTTTAGCCACAGCTTAGCCTATAAAGAACACAACTAAATACTCACAAAGATGATGAGATGAACTGAATACAGTCATTTGACATCTACAAGTTTACTTCACAAAAACAGTAAATCTTTCAAAGTTATAGAACACTTAACTAATGATAAGCTTATTAATTATTAAATAGAGCATTTAGCTTAATTTACATCTCCTGGTGTCCTTGTTCCTTCTGTAATTATGGATAACTGGTAATCTTCCGTCGATACTGGTATACAGGGAGCCATTGGTGATGGGAAATCTATGTTCAACAGCTTGAAAAACAGGTACACTTCGTTCAGTGTTCGGTATTTCCAAACTCTGCGGTTGACTGGCGATGCCAAATGGTCGAAACTTGCCAACAAGTCCAACTAAAATAAAAGTGTATATATTAGTTCCCAACATATTTAAAGATGATTGATATACCTAAGTGTATTGATATAATAGATGACAACAGAATAGACATTAGCAGAATAAAATGCTAGAAAATAAGATCATGCAATAACGAAAAAGTATGGGAACAATAGATAAGTATAGAAATTTTAGGAAACAGTAGAAACGAATATATAGAAAAAAAAAACGAGAATCAGAAAATGACATATTAAAACTGCTCGAATGTCTTAACTTTCTATCAATAATAAAATTTATATTAGCAGCATAGAGGATATCCTGATTAGATATATAGAATATATTGTCAATATGAATACCAACCTGGTAAATCTACGAACTCTGCGTTGGATGATCTACGTAGGTTTATCTCAAAGTCAATGGAAGACAAAGATATAGCAATGCCGCTTTTTTTTAGATAAAGAAAGGGGCATTTAATAATGTTACTACCAGCTCTTTGATAGGGGCTATGAGTAGACGAGGAGCACCTGCGGTAATATGCAGATGGATAAGGGCATCTCTGGAGAATACGACAGAAGATGGAGGCTGTCCACGAGGACAAGTTCTGTCCCCTCTACTTTGGACAACCTTGGTAGATGATCTCCTCAGAAATCTGTCCATAGAAGGCTTTTACTGTCTAGGATATGCTGACGATATAGCAATCGTTGTCAGGGCAGGTTTGCCCAGGTGGTGTCTTATAATTAGTTAACTAGTTTCAAAGTCAACCAATTTTAAGGACCACATTTCTGAATCTTTGTGAACCATTCCATTAAAATGCAATCTTTTTCGAATTTGTTCACATTAAAACATTAAAGTATGTTCTTTCAGATGACCCTAATAAGGTCTCTTAATTGCTATAAATAAATCTGTTATCAATTTATAAAAAAGGCACTAACTTCGTCCCAACGTGTTTTAGGTCACCTTTTTTTCTTTAAATTTGTAAAAAAGTTCAGGCTGTCTAAATATGAAACATCAGTTTTTTGCAGTCAATGGTTGAAATGTTATTCGATGATAAAAAATCGATATGTTTTTGCCAAATTATTTTGCAATATTTATAATTATTTTTCCTCATTTTTTTTTTTAATAATAAAAATAGAATAAACCTTCTTTTTCAGAGGCTATCCGTATAATTAATATAACTATATAATTTTCTGACTTATATTGTTGCAAAAAAATTTAATTTGGGATAAACAAATTAAATAACTTTTAAACTATTTGACCGATCGGCTTGAATCAAATTTTGCTCCACAAGCTCCAAGATTGTATGTACTATAATGGTTATAAGTTTATTTTTAAAAAAGTTAATATTTATAAAAAACCAAAAGACTCATTTTGCAATTTTCTAAGAAACAAATAAGTATTGGAACATCTTAAAAAATGCCATTTTAAAGGTTTTTATATGACTTATTAGTTTCTTACTCTCAAAGTTCCAAATGCTTCACTTTTTGCCGATAGACAAAAAAAGCAAAAAGCGAAAAAAAAGCTAAATATATAGATTTTTATTACAGAGGTCCTTATTACTCAAAACAACAGTCGTTAGCCTGGCCGGAAAAAAGCCGAAAAAAGCTTATTTCTCTGGGCTAATGATAATGATGATGAATATATACTAAATGGTAATTTTTTGTAATGTAAATGACACAGACAGCATTTGTTTTATACCTAATCAAGTTAAGCATACACACCGTGAGGTAACTTATCTTCAACATTAGATCCAGAACATCGGTACACACTTGATACCCATTTACAGAATCTAGAATCCACAATTCCTAAACCAACTGGAATTAATACATCTTGAATGAGGCCTAACCATAATGCTATTCCTGATACAGGCCATGGGTAGATCAGATTAGGGTATATGCATAGCACCTGTAAATAAGGAGATTAATGTTATTTTCAATGTCTAGATACAATTTTTGTTTTTTAAGCTCCTAAAGATATTAAGAATAAAATTTTGAACGTATCATCCTTAATGATATCTCACCTAAATAAGATACAAATGTGTAGCCAGCATTTGTGGTAACAATTAAGACATTTCCAATACAGATACACACACTTGTTTTTTTTAATAAAAAAGTGTTTTAAGTTTTATAGGTGGCTGTTCAATCACAAATTAACCCCTTAATTTGTAATCTCACATTATTCTTAACTTCTTAATCTTTTATAGTTTCACCGTGTATAAGTGAGATTGTAAAACCTTTACTACAGTACAAACAAGTACAAAAATGATATGAAGAAACGTACAATTTTATTAAATGTACGTAAAATTTTACGTACAAGTCTTCGACAAAAATTAGAGAAGTAGAAATTATAATGGGACAACTTCATCATTTATTGGAAGACGACGAAACCGATGAAGATATACAAGAAGATTTAAAAGAAGAGGTACAAAAAATAGATGCTTTAATAATGGCAATAACTGTGGACAATGCACAGGATGCACTAGAAGAAGGTGAAATAGAAAGATTTTATACAATGAGAAGAAGGGTGCGGTCGATCATAAAAGAAAATAAGAGATTAGAGGCAGAAGGATGCACGAAAGACAAAATAATATTACCCCAAGTGAAGTTACCCTGTTTTGAGGGAAGGTATGAATCCTGGGTAACATTCTATGATATTTTTAAACGTTTGATACATGAGAATAACCAACTATCAAATGTGGAAAAAATGCAGTATCTGAAGACAAGCCTCCGAGGAGAAGCAAGTAGAATAATACAACATTTAACACAACAGAAGCAAACTACAGTGCTGCCTGGAAAATGTTGCAAGATCGGTACGATAATCCAAGAATGAATCTATTTATATTAATAGACAAGATACTTCAGGCTGCGGAGATAAAAACGTCAGCAAAGGCGCTGAAAACATTACATGATACTCTCCACGAATGCTTAGAAGCCATTAGTGGATTAGGTATAATGACAGAGTCCTGGAGCCCTCTTATAGCAAGGATAAGTATGTTAAAGTGGGACACAGAAACCAGGAGATTATATGAAACGTCAATTCAAGACAGTAGGGACATTCCGACATATAAGTCAACACAGGAATTCCTACAAAGAAGATTCCAGACATTGGAGATGTTGGAAACAGAACGGAAAGGAACAGATCACAGACAACAGGTAAAGAAGAAGATAACCTGTGTGGTGAGTCATGAAGAACATAAACTGTTGAAATGTACAACGTTTCTACGTCAACAAGTACGTGAAAGAAACAAAATCGTAAAGGAAAAGCAATGGTGCAGTAGATGCCTACTACACAAAAGGGAAGTACCATGTACAATTCCTACACATGTCAGAAGGTCAGTATGATAACAGAAGAAATTCTGAAAATAGAAGGCCACAAAATAGACCAAATTATAGTGGGTCGGGTCAGTATGATAACAGAAGGAATTCTGAAAACAGAAGGCCACAAAATGGACCAAATTCTAGTGGGTCAAGTCAGTATGACAACAGAAGAAATACTGAAAACAGAAGGCCACAAAATAGGCACAATTCTAGTGGGACCAGAGGTGACAACAGTTATGACGGATCGTCAAGGAGACAAGAGAATACCGTGAGCTGTTTAAGTCACCAGAATGAAGAAGTGCTACTTGCAACGGCATTAGTACGAGTAAGAGACTCAAAAGGAAGCTCACAATTAATTAGAGCATTGATTGACCAAGCATGATAGACCAAGGCTCGCAGTCATCATTCATTAGGGAGCAGGCAGCTACAAGTCTCGGAATAAAAAGAAAGGCTGTCCACGCTCAGATATCTGGAATTGGCAATGAAGACCAAAGGACGTCGAAATGGATCGTAACATTAAACTTACAGGCACATTTCGAAAATCAATTTCAAATGAAGATCGAAGCACTTGTACTACGAAAAATAACAAAAAATCTACCAGAGAAGGAGATACAGATGAAAGAAAGGAACCATAGGAACTTAGTCCTGGCGGATCCAAATTTTAATAAAACAGATTCAATAGATATTCTATTAGGAGCCAAAGAATATAGTTTGATATTACTGGACGGAATAGATCGAACAAAGAATGGTTTGCTGGCCCAAAATACAAAATTGGGTTGAATAATGTCATGGATAGCACAGCAAGAGAATATCCCTAATATACAAGTACTCAGCATGCTATCTATACGACGACAAATGGATAAAGATAGAAAACAATACTGGAAGTTAGAAGAAGTAGATCAAAGCAATACTCTTTCAATAAAAGAAAAAAAGTGTAAAGGATATTATAAAAGAACAGTAAAAAGGGATAACGAAGGAATATTTGAAGTTAAAATACCCTTCAGTTCTAGTACACGTCTATTAGGGGGACTTACTACAGCAAGCATATGTGAGACTTCAGCAATTAGAGAAGAAATTTTAAAGAGACACAAACCTAGAAAAAACAGAGGTGGTGTTGTGCGCTCGTTGTTGGTCCCAAGGAATCTACTTGCAGTAGATTACAATAACTTACACTATTTTTTTTAAGTGACATATGAAAATAAAGGAGTGTAGTCAGATATTTTCGAAACTCTACGAGAGCCAGAAAACGAAGACATACTTTATCAAAACCAAATTTAAGTAGTACTTTAAAGAAAGCCCCTACTAGATCAGTTTCACTTAATGAGCTTAGCTTTGAATTAGATAGTTTAGCTGAAACATAAATTCTAAATAAGCAAGTTATAGGTAGCACTGCTCGGGTGAGATAATAATTCAAAAACCGAGTGAATTAGTGTTATGATTATTGTTATATTATTATTTTATATTTTTTATGTGTTTAAATATTTTCTACTGGTCGTCTGTTTGTTCTTTATGTAGTGGTCAATATGTTCAATAACAAATTAACCCCTTAATTTGTAATCTCACATTATTCTTAACTTATTATTCTTTTATAGTTTCACCGTGTATAAGTGGGACATTGTAAAACCATATCGTATAATATTTTAATAATTAGTTCATTTACTTACAACTAAATAAATTGCCGAATAATATATTTTCTAACTGAACTTCCCAAGTGTCGCAATTAAGGCCTAGATTAAATTGTAATGTAAGCAAATAGTTCAAAGTATGGTATGATAGAAAGCAATAACCTCGGTGCTGAGGTATGATTTATTATACTATTTATTATATAACGGAGATTATAAATTGGGGATTTGAGCTCATTTGAGCACAGTCTATCATAAGTAGTTACCTAACGAACATCATATTGTGTAATTACCAGTAGCTGTCAATAAATCAACACTTTTACTTTACAACTTCACCTTTTTATTATATTTATCATCGTCGATCGACAAGAAGCGGACAAAGGGGCATTTACAAACCGATGGGAACCTCATAACTACGTTCGAAACTTTCCAGTGTCCTATAGTAAATGGGATGTGCTGATCACGAATATGTGCTTAGTTTTTTTCCAGCACTTCAGGTTTTTAGAAAAAAGTTTTGAAATTTTACATAGAAACTACCAAACATACGAAGAAAAGAATATTTGTTGAAACTATATGTAATGAAAAATTACACTACAAAATGGAGTTGTTTATAAAAAAAAAACAATGCAGTATAATCTACGTTAGACAATCGTTGTTTTTTTTTATTAAAAATCGTTCCCTTTTTTCATGAAAACTAAGTTTTTGTAGTAATCTTTTTGTGGATTTTCACGAGCTATCACGAGATATCATGGACCGAGCATCTAACAAACAGCGAAGTCATGAGAAGAGTCAACAAAAGAATGAAAATATTGGAAACCATCAATACACGAAAACTGCAATACCTGGGGCATGTTATATATAAAATGAAAGATACAACATACTTCAATTAATTATATAAGGGAAAATCCAGGGCAAGAGAAGTGTAGGAAGGAGAAGAATCTCTTGGAAGAGGAATGGTACGGACGCACATCAATCGAACTATTCAGAGCGGCAGCATCTAAGATCAGAATAGCCATGATGATTGCCAACCTTCGTTGCGGAGATGGCACGTCAAGAAGAAGAAGAAAAGCTACTTGAATCTGCTAAAGATTTATTTTATACTAAAAAGTGTTATTTTACTTCGAAAATCTACTGAAAACTAGTTTTCTACTGAATATGGTCACGCATTAACACACTTACAAAAAAAAAACACAACTCGATGCTATAAACAACTGATGCTAACTCTTTCATAAAACAACTACCGATGCCTCCAAGTTGACGGCATCGGTAGCGTTGACATGAAGTAAAAAATTAAATAATTTACGTAACAAGTTCCAAAAGTGATATTTTACGAGACGAGTAGGAAGTTCCCAGGGCGAGCCGTAGGAGAGTCCTGGAATTCTGTTGGAATTCTGTGAGTTTCGTAAAATTACTTTTGGATCGTGTTACGTTCAACATTTTTTGTAGCCTTTTTGTGTGTTAAAAAGAATATATGGATATACTTTACTTATGAACTTTTGTTAAACACTTTAAAGTTACTTTTGTGAATTAAACATTAGAAAAATCTACTTATGAATATTCATAACACAAATACCAATTATTTACATTGATATTGTTAGGAATATTAACACAAGTGGCAGCATTGAAATTAAGACGTGTCAGTACTTTTACCATTTTTTGAGATATTAACTTGGTTGAGGCCATTTTCAATCTGTGAAGCTACGTGAATTTTATTTCTTAAAGAATTTTCTGCTATTATATCCTTCTGCTCCATTAGTTGATTTCTATCCTCCGTGTCTTCTCAAGTTGGTTATAGTTCCACCACTATCAGCCAGTAAAGTGGCTTAGCTCCTTCGTAGACAGTGCCTGGTTAATTCTTTGGGGTGCGGTAATTTAACAAATTCAGCAATAGTGCAGGCGATATTTCCAAAAGTATGAATACCAATAGGTTGAATAGTACACCTTCCATTTTTGTAATACGCAAATAGTCTACGATGTAGTGTATTTGCTTGACGTAATGACAAATATTTTCTGTATTAAGAAATGTTTTCTCCAATAACTACAAAGGCTGTTTCCCCAAAGGCTTGATGGCTTCAAGAGATTAGATTTTTCCATTAGATATGCAAGCGTGACTCCTTCATTTATAGTATGTACATTTTTATCATTGCTCCATGTTTGAAATAGATTGCAGACCAATTCATACCTCTTTCTTGACTTTACCGGCAATAATTCATAAATAGTGGCTTTAGCAGTTTCCCTAATCTAATCTGGAATCATTTCGTTATTACTTTCACCGCTAATTTTCATTTCTTGGAATTGAAAAACGAAAAACTAAGCGAAAACACACAAATCCTAATTAACAAGCGTTGTCATAATAAAATACAAAGTTGATGTTATTGTCAAAGCCGTTACCTAGCTACCCAAAATCGTCCCGAACGTGAAAAAATTAGCCCGAAAGTAGCTACTCTTGGTACGAGTTGTGTAAAATAGTACTTTCGATAAATCATACCGAAAGTTTTATTTTCGGGACGGCTGCAGAAAAAGTATTTTAAAGAAATAGTTGTAATACAATTAAACAAATATTTTTTTTATTTCCTGTATAAAATTTACGGTTTTTTTTAATTTTGTGAAAAATCTTGACGTGATGGGCTCAAACCAAATTTACATTCAGAATCAACGTACCCGTACCAAAAATCATGTCGGCCCATGAATTATAAGACTGTGTGGAAGAGTGATCTTCAAATGGCAAAAAATCCTAAAAAGAAGTTTTGTTATAATTCTAGTAATATAATATAATAAATAGAAATATAGGCCGATAATAGAAAAATAGTTATTTTTTCGAAAAGTACACAACTCTTATTACTTGTTACTTCACTTTAGTTTCACTTAAAGTCAATATCCCTTATGATAATAGCAGGCTCGTGATATTCAGCCGTGTTGCGATAGGTAATTATCATTTTTGTTTCCTTCATGCACATATTTTTTATGAAATCACATCCTTAGCATTTTAATTCCAATTACGAGAGCTTTTATATCTATTCACGCCGGGATGTTACGAAACACACCTAATATGAGACTATCTAGTATAATAATCATAAAGCTATAGAGATCGTCGGTTTTAAATGATCAAGTGGTTTCGTAATAACTATAGATCCAACCATGAAATGAATATAATATATTGTTTCTATAAACGGTGGAATGTATGTATCATAAAAACAAAAAACTAGTTGGAAATACTAATGGAAGAATTTGTATAATAAACTCTAACGTTATGTCTGCTGTAAAATTAGTTTTAAGTGTAATAGTCTAGGCGGGATCTGTTTTGGATTGGACATTTTCCATAGGAAAGCTATTTTTTTTCTGTAAAACCCTTCAAGATGTGCCCAATATCGATAATCACGATATGCGCTAGTCGCAAACCCTGTGCTAAATTTTTTATTTAATAAAATCTGAAAACAATTGAAAATTTCTCATTTTTTTGCTCCTATTTTCGTTTATAATTCGGAAAATATTGATCATAGAGAGAAAAATTATAAGAAGTTAAAAGTTTATTTATTAAATTTTACACAATATTTCGTTAGCTAGAAATTAAAAATTTAATATTTATTGTTGAAAAAATAGCAATAATTAGAAAAACAAGTACAAACAATGAAGTTTAATCCTTTAAATGATTTCGACTTTCTAAACTTGACTTACAAGCTCCATATTCCGCCTAGAAAAACTTTTTAATATATATTTAAAACGTGTGCTAAATTTTGTTAAGATCGGTCGGATAGGTTTTGCATAATAATTTGCAATCCAGCCTACTGAAAAAAAAATCGCAAATTTTTAAATTTATAGTAGACCCTAAATAAGGCCCTCACACAGTTGCAAATTTTTTTACATATAAAGGAAGGCTTAAACTTTCAAACGCTTTTTGTAAAATTCAAATCGGTATACTAGGAGAGCCTAGAAAAATTTTAAACATTTTTAGGCTTATAAACAAATTGAATAACTTTACAGCTTTAAACATATCAATTTCAAAATTTATACAATTAAAGAACATTAAAAGACGCTTCTTAAAAAAAGATACATTCGGCTTACTGGTTGCCGAGATATTGAAGGTCAAAGTTGGCATACATTTGCCGTGTAACCATAAGTGATAGCTATGATGTACAACATTACCCAATAATGTCGTACATCATGCTATCAATAAAAAAAAATTAAAAAAAACTTCAAATCCGCATTTTTATTATTAGCCCCAGTCTGGTTATGCAAAACTCATCGATTTCACGGCAAAATTTTTCGCAGATATCTGAAGTTTTTTAAGACATAGGTGGGGATTACTAGATGACGAATAGATTGAAAGATATTCCTATTTTTTACCTGCGTTTTTTATTACAATAATTTTATGGTCCACAATTTGATTTTGGTTATAAGTTTTTTCCCTTATTATTTTAAATAAACAATATTTATATCGTTTTTTATTATCAAGAATATCTTTATTTTCCCGTTTTTTCAATTAAAATTGATAAATAATTTACGGAGATATTTGCAAATAAAGCAGTTGTTTTGCACTAATTTATAAATTTTATAAATTTTTTTATTAAAAAAATAAAATGTTATTATACATTTAAACGTCGAGAAATTACCGTCTTTTACATATAGTTTAAAAGTTATTTAATTTGTTTATTTCTGATTTCTAATTTATTTAAACTATTGAACTTGCTCTATGAATATGCTATACACATTTAGCCAATTTTATAGGATCTTTAGACTTAAACTATCTCAGAAGTTAAATGCTTATTGTGTTTCCATCGAAATTACTTACAAAATAAACGTATAAAAAGGGTATGTTTTTTTACTTATAAACAATTGTAATAACTTCTATATTTTCCAAGCTACAGACTTTTACGTACAACCATTGGAAGCTGGTAAAAAATTCACATTTAAAAAAAACCTTCTATGACCAATAGGAACAAAGTTAGCGACTATTTTTTTTAAAACCATATCTCCATGTGTTATAAACATTAAAGAAGTAAATTTGCACCACATTTTGAATGAAAATCTAAACTTTGTATTGAAACTTTATAGCTATAAAATTTATCCAAATTTTCGAAAACTTACAGCCTTTCGAAACGAAGGTACTTTCGAAAGTCGACATAGGAAAGTGAAGGAGATAAACTGTTTTAGCTCCACGCTCAAAATTTCGTCTGTCTCTGTGTAGTAGCTTTAGAAAGCAATATACTTATACTTCTTTGAGTAAAATATTTTTGTATTTTGAACAACAAAGGTTGTAAACTAAACGTAATTTAATTACAATCCGTAAAATAGTTTCGAAACACAATTCAGATTTCTGCTTATAATCTGAGCCTTCTAAAAATTGCAAGGCAACGGACGTGATAAAGATGTTAAAAGGAACATGGGGAATCTAAAATTTGCATTCTACGACAAGTCTTTTACAAACTAAGCAGAAATCCTTAGACGAATTGTGTTTCTCGTACTCACACAGAGCATATCCGAATAAAATGAAAAAAGACAGCAAATATTTGATTTCACGCAAACAACTCCTATGTATCTGTTGATATGTATTTCGACCTAATAGGTCTCATCAGAACAGTTATTCCTAGGTGTTCTCAACGTGAAAAATCAATATTTTCTGTGTTTTAAGAAGCAACACTTAAATGGCTTCAATACAGCCGCGATAGCGACATCTAATAATAAATCCGTAAATAGTTTCGAAACACAATTCAGATTTCATGCTTATAATCTGAGTCTTTTAAAAATTGCAAGGCAAACAGACGTTGATAAAAGTATGTTAAAAAGATGTTCGAAACTATATTACGGATTTTATTATTAGATGTCGCTTTCGCGTCTGTATTGAAGCCATTTTAGTGTTTGCTTCTTAAAGACAGAAATATGATTTTTTCACGTTGAGGACCACTATGAATAAACTGTTCTGGTGAGACCTATTAGTTGTGAAATACGTATCAACAGATACATAGGAGTTGTTTGCGTGAAATCAAATATTTGCTGTCTTTTTCAATTGTATTTAATTACTTTTTGAATGAAATTGTAAGTAATATTTAAAACTATCGAATAATAATTAATTATTTTCAACTTGTATAATCAAGTGAATAATATATATTTATTATAGATTTATTTTAAAATAAACAACAGACTGTGGCATGAACTTTTTCAAGCAGTAGTACTTTCAAAGTAGTTTTATTTTTTAATTTTTGGTATATAAATGGCTAAATTATTGTTATACAAGTTAACCTTTATGCTTTGAACTATTTTTATTGCTTTTACTGTATTGTTTATAATAATAATTAAAATTTCCGCTTAATAAGATAAAAAGTCTTACTTAACAGATTTTAGAAATCCGATTATGCTTGTTATAACTTTATATATTTTTAAAAGATTTGTTTCTATATACGCTTGCAATTATTCTAATTTTTCATTAATATTAAAAAAATCTTTTTTTGATTTATTTTTAGACATCTGAAACATATTTCCATTTAAAAGGAGCAGATCATTTTTTACTCTTTTTGTACTCTTTACGAGGTAATTCTTTAAAATTTTTGATTACATTGTACATTAAATCGAAAGAAATTAATCTTTTATAATCTTTTATTCTTAATCTGGGGAAATTTGATTTAATCAAACGCAAACGAAGAAACTCTTAGTTTCATGGATATTTTCTACGATTCCAACGCAAGTAAAAGAAAATATAATGAGAATTGTTGTGTAGGTGATTGTGGTTCTATACTCTACTGCAGTTGTTCTGAAGCTATTTTCTTTGGCATTGTAAATTAATTACTATTTAACTGGGAATAAGCCACAATTAAATATAAAAATACGTTTATTGACGTTTCAATTTCCACTTCGGAAATCGTTCTCAAAATACAAACAGTAAATTAAACAAATTTGTTTTTTTGTTACATAGTGAAAAATTCTTCTAATAATTTAATTTTATCTGACTCATTTATATTGACAATTCAGACATACATTATGCATTTTAAAGTAGACGACTTTAAAATGATATTGCCAATATTGTTAGTTGCGCTCCTGGGACGACTTTACTTATAGATAGTTCATTCGATTACATGAAATCAACTTTAACTTGAAATATCCATCAGAAAAAAATTATAGCATGTAATTCGTCTTTAACAAGACAAACACATGACATGATGACATTTATGTTTTTAAATAATCGTAACATATAAAATCAGAATTTTGATGTTTGTTGAAGATAAACTAAATTCAGAAACAAATACTAACAATGTCGGGATAGATATTATGAGGTTTTTTTTCCTGGTTTTTCCCTCATAATTTACTATGGAATCACTAACAGGAGAATTTTACTGTCATCATGTCATGTGTTTG